ATCGCTCCGCGGATTGCGAGAGGAGATTTGGGTTCAGCGGCTCAAAGCATGTCCAACAAAGTACGGCGCTCGTATATGGCGTTTTTCTCCTCGTAATATCGCGTAAGGATGCTAAATTTTGCCATTGATTTTTATCTTTGTAGAGACGACTTGCTCTATATGATCTGCTCTTAATTTCTACTCTGGTACTCTTAATTTTTTATGAGGTTCCCTTTTCCGCTAATATTTGAGTACTCAAACTGGAGTGTGAGCTCGATGGAGTTGAGCACTTTCGACAGTTTCTCCTTTTTACCTCTAATTAAAGGCAGCGCCCGCGTTAAACTTGATGAGTTATGGGGCTCAGACAGTGACAATAAGGTAGCAAGTAGTTCATTAGTGAAGTAAAATGCAAAAAAATCATCGGATATGCCCTATATAGGACCCCACGCCGAGCTGAGGTTGTACGTGCTCAAGGCGAAGAGAAGGCCTTATCACCTTATTCTCATCATTCGAAGTGGAGAGAGTTAGCAGCGGAACAACCGCACCATCAGGCAACCATTAGAAATGAAGTTGGGCGTAGTGGTCGCCAGGTGGGCGGGGTGGCCGACTCTTCACGAGCGGGCGCCGCTATCTCTCGCATTTTTGAGTTGCGAAACTAGTACGTCCACCATCCTCATAGGGTGAGCTACGATATCCAAAGAGGGCGTGGAAACAACAAATGAACGCGGGCGCTGCCTTCAAAAAGCTAAAACCGAACATGCACATCCTTACTATGACCATGAGTGTTTTTTTCACCTCAAGTTTTTTACCTTGAGTTTTGGAGTTTTGTTCTTATACAGTGTTATTTACCTCGTCCATTGTAACTAGTTTGCCGATAATAAATCGTAATCATAATCATGCCCAGTTGCTAAGTATATGGTCAAGAGGCCATGTAGAAACATTTACAGCGGCTTAAGTTATTGGAAGATACCCATTTCAACCTCACAGAGAAGCATCGAACCTAATGCCCTACTGAATCCAACTGAGAGCTTACTGAATTACCTTGTTCACGGAGATTCATGCCAAAGATTGAGGAATCGTTAGAGGTCATAGACGCCTCCTTATCATTATCAAGCATCACCTTCAGTTGATGTTAGACGTTCAAAAGTTAGGGGGTAGGTTCTGCAGGCAGTCGCTCCTCAAGAGGACCCCATGCAATGCACATTTACAAGGTCCGAATTCCCACCTCTTGATCGCTTGAACCCACTTCAAGCAATCATAAGAAACATCATTCATCAATCATATATAGCTTAAAGGCAGCGCCCGCGTTCAATTTGATGAGTTATGGGGCTCAGACAGTGACAATAAGGTAGCAAGTAGTTCATTAGTGAAGAAAATGCAAAAAAATCATCGGATATGCCCTATATAGGACCCCACGCCGAGCTGAGGTTGTACGTGCTCAAGGCGAAGAGAAGGCGCGGCCGCACGAGTTCTCACTTGTTGGTATCAGCTGTTTTCCCTTATCACCTCACTCTCACCATTCGACGTGGAGAGAGTTAGGAACAACCGCACCATCAGGCAACCATTAGAAATGAAGTTGGGCGTAGTGGTCGCCAGGTGGGCGGGGTGGCCGACTCTTCACGAGTGGGCGCCGCTACTCCCTCGCATTTTTGAGTGGCGAAACTACAGGGGGGCCATAAAAAAGTCACTTCGACCGAGTCACATATCAGCAAAGTTTTTGCAGCCCAGAGAGAGTGGATACGAGTACCAGGGCGGAAGATACCCAAGATGTTCCTCGATAAGCAGGAGCTGGCCCTCGCCCATCACCTTCATGTACACCAAAATATGAAGTCATCTCCAGTCGCAGCCTGACTGGAGAAGACCTTTGGAATTCATGTCACCTCCAAACAGCTGCGAAACTTCTAGTGTGGAGTCACCCATGGGTAGCTACCTGGAGACTAGTACTCTCAATCTGGAAGACCTCCAACATCGAGCAGCTCCGACAACGTCGCTACGGTCTAGGACATCATCTTCACCGCAGTCGTCAAGGAGCGGGTTGATGGTATGGACCGGAGGTACCTGGAATGGACGCTGGCGGTTACATCGAGCAACTCGAGAAGAATATCCTCCCCACATGTCGCCGCCCCTACCTTCTTGGAAACTTTGTACTGCTACAGCATTGGGTGCCACCACGTGGAATCGAAGGGCGTTGGAGAAACTCTCGCCTTCTTGGAAGGAAAGGGGGCTGAGTACCTAAAGAAGATGGTATATCCAAGTAGTTCACCTGACCTGAATCCCCTCAGTTACCCGGTGGCGGAGTTCAATAGGGTGGTCTACGGTGGCGGAGAAATCGACTATCTCGCTGATCTCAGGCACCACATCGCGGTCGCGTGCCAGAATCTCTCGATGGCCTCGTCCAGAAGGCTGTGGCGGAGTTTTATAATAGTATTTAATATGTTCTTTGATATGGTTGTAGAAATGTCCGATTAGATTTTATAAAGTGTAATTTATAGCGCCACGAAGTCAATGAAGAAAAGTGACTTCTTTTGCCCCCCCCCCCCTGTAGCAGGTCCAATTCTCATGGATTGAGCTACGATGTCCAAAGAGGGTGTGGAAGCAACAAATGAACGCGGGCGCTGCCTTCAAGGTTTGAGCTTCCTCTATAATATGAGAGTCGAGACAAAGTGCAAAAAGTTGTTGTCGAAAACCCACTTTTGGGTCGAGCCGGCACTCCATTCCAATAGGAATAAAAAAAAACACAAAACAGAAATCATAACACAGTAACAAACAACAACAAACACAAAACACAAAACACACACAAAACACAAAACAGAAATCGTAACACAGTAGGAAGGCAACCATGCTATCTTAAAGAGCGGGGAATTATCTTTCAAAGAAAGTAGAACACATTGTAAACACTTGTCATTTTCCATATAAAAAATCTGTGTCAGAAAAAAAACGCCATCATGGGCCAACCCAATACATCTCATTGCGAGCGTCCGAATCGACGTGTGTGTGGGTGTGTGTGTGGTGGGGGATCCCTTGTCGTTTTTCTGAGTTCCAAGAAGTGAAAGTGAACTCATGACACCCTTTATCTCAACCTCTAGTTACGCTTCGAGGTCGGGTTGCACCCAAGGGGACCGCGATATAAACACGGGAATATTAGGTATTGACACCCTTTGTGTCGTTTTTGAATAACAGTTTTTTTAATTATCAAGGACACAGGACAGGGAATCTTGTATTGTAATCGCCATATGACTCAGGCATTCTAATTCTTTTTTTCAGAATCACATGCTTAGGGCAGGTGAGATTTCACACCATGCGGGAACGGTACCAGAGCACATCATTAATTGGCGATTTTGGTTGAATCTATAGGAACCCCTTCCCCAAAAGGTGGCTCAATGAACCCCTCACCCCTCCTTCCCCATCCTACACAAGCAGCGCTTTCTCATCTTAACAACCCCCTACCTCTTTCCAGTTTTTCCGGTACTTTCCGGAAATCTCCCTTTTTTCCCAGAATTTTGCTATTGAGCAGGTGGAGGAGGCGGGGAAGGTGTAGATTGTACTGTGAAATAGGAAAAGTCTCGTAAAGTCAACAACCAAGGCAAATTTTTCAATTTTTTTTCAGGCAAATACAGCCACCCTCCTAACAACAAGGGAATACGACCCCCCTGTAGCGTCCGTGAAAAAACAAAAATCAGCTATAAAAAAGTTGAGACCAAAGGCCAAATACAGCCACTTCGCCCAGCTACCAAATACGACCACCCCGCCCCTGTTGGGGGTCCCCAGATGTTCCCTTGATGTGCGGAACAGTACTACTTAGTTACTGAAAGGGAACGCTAGTAAAAAGCAAATGACTTTTGATGGGACTATTGTTTGGGATATATGTTGGTTGAGGGGAATGTATTAGCTCATTTAAACAACTTTCCGACATCCATTTCCATAACAGAACTCTTAATTAACGCTATTTTCGGAATTTCATGATATGGTTTGAGCAGTCTTGCACAAACTTGTTATGGTTCACACCGATCAGATCAGGGAGCTCTCTTTTCTAGCACAGTGACCGCAGCATTTATTTGAGCATTCATCTCGCACATCTTGAACCATGATGAGTGTCTCAAATATAGACTGCCCTTTCCTATTTTAAGAGCCTGTGTTATTTACAACATTAGGTTTGTCAGAAAGGCAATCCATACGATCTTGAAAAGGCTGATGCCCAATACATACACATTGTTTGATTTTCAGCCCCTATTGTCATGCTACACTTTACACCGATGAAGCCCATGTGGCAGGAGAAATACTCCGAATTGAGTAGGTTTTCAGTGGAGCTGTTTGTGTATTCGCTTATCAAACAAATTTAAAGGCAAGGAGTTATCAAACGAAATCGGTCTTTTCATCTGTCTTTTCCAGAAATGGAAAGCAAAAACTCTTTAAAAAACCTAAGCAATCTGTCAAACCAGGCGTAATGTGTCATACTGCTGCCTTCATCCCCCATCGCTGAGGGTCCCTACTGTTTCATGCACCTCCTGCTTTAGGAGCGCCTTACTATTTCCTGCAACCCAACCCAAGCAGTGAAATGGTTCTCGCTGAATTTCAATGAAAGTTGATTGCTTATATCAGTGATGAATCCATCTACTGCTCACTATCTCATAGCTGCACCATTCCTTCTTCGAAACATGGTCAAGTCAGCGATGGCACATGTTGCATTCAACGAG